CATTGCTATTAGGTTGGGGGCCATTGCTTGTAGGTTGGAGGCCATTGCTTGTAGGTTGGAGGCCATGGCTTGTAGGTTGGAGGCCATTGCTTGTAGCCCTCTTGGCCCGAGACCTCCAGGTTTTGGCCACGGTGAGGGTGGATCCCCCCCAACACGGGCCCTGTCATCCCTTCGCTACTGGATGGCCATGGACGATTCGGACCTTGACAAAGGTCTCTCTGGAATCCTTCAAGATTTTTCTCTGTGGGGCGACCACAACGCCTTCCTGCCGGATCGACCGAGCCTCCTCGTTCAAGACTTGCAATTGAAGGTTCCCTCTGACCTTTTCACCTTCGAAGGAACTCACTTGGTAGCTGCTGGTCGAGGAGTGGCGGAATTCAAGATGGATTCTGTATGGATTGGCGGTGACTCACCTATGGCCCACAAGATCCAGTTGCTGTGGCCATCGAACACTAAGCCTGTCACGCACAACCTGGCCTTGCAAGGCTTCATGGACAAGTGTTTGCTGTGGAACGTTGAGTTGCTGTATCCCCCTCAGAACCAAGGGGCGGATGTTGCAGTTGATGAGCGTACATGCATCCTACCACTGCGAAAAGGGAAGACAGGTCCCATCCATGCATTGCACCTGTTTGGAGGAGCTTGGGGAGGCTGGTCTTTCGCGGGCCAGATTCTTTCTGAAATGGGAGTGGAGGTACTTTCAGGAGCAGTGGAGCTTGATTTTGCTGCAGCACGTACTTATGCCATTTCACATCGATGCCCTTTGCTTACAACTGGTGAAGATGACCCTCTTCCTCCATTGGCACTGCACTCCTTTCCTGAGGGATGGTGCTTATGGGCGGATGTCATGGACTCCTCTTGGTGGGAAGCTGCCGCTGTTTGGGGCCCTGAGATTGTCACGATATCAGCACCATGTCCACCGTGGAGTGGAGCCGCAGCTCAACGTGGATTGCATTCTTTGGATGGCCAGGTGCTGTTTAGAAGTATTGCTCTCTGCAAACTGCTGAGGCCCAAGCTAATCCTGATTGAACAAGTTGCAGTGCAGCCTTTCATGCCCATCCACATCGAAAATGGATTCAGAAAGCGCTATGGTTTGCTGGATACCAGTTACGCTTCTCTCATGTCATTGAGCTGGGGGATGTTATGCCGGTCAGGCGAGCCAGATGGTTGGGCATTGCCTACTTCATCCATGAGTTTGATGTGAAATTTCCTCCCTTGTCCTCTTGGAACATTGAGCGAACGGTCACTTTGGAGGAGTTGGATTGCATTCTCAGTTGGCCACCTCCCATTCAGCAACGATTGGTGGTTCCGGAGGAAGCTTTGCGTCAAGCCCAACAGATTCGCCTGGATAGAGGCAATAAGCAGGCTCGCAGATGCTCAGCAGATGAAGCTGCCCATTCGCATGAATTTCAGCCTCAAGACAAATGCTTGCCCACCTTCATGGCTCAGTATGGCAGCACCGGCTGCATGTTGAGCTGCTTGAGAGAAAGGGATACTTTGCTCACTGGCTGAAAGAAGCTGAGGATTTGGGATCACGCTTTTGGCACCCGGCTGAGATTGCTCTGATTCATGGTGCTTGGAGTGGCTTCTGGACCTCCGCCAACTTTGAATCTGAATGGAAAGGTTTTGAGAATCAGATTGCCATTCCCCACGCCTTATGGCTGCTCACCCAAGCTGTCAATATGCTTGAGAGTAGGGATCCTCAATTGGAATGGCCTGAGGTTTGGCGATACTTTGATGAGCATCGTATGTTGGCATCAGCCATGCGGTCACAGACTTTTTCAGCTGGCACCATGTGGATGCAGTTGCATACCTCATTCACTATGAAGTCAGAGGTGGTGGACCAGCTCTTTGAGGAGGGTTTGGATTGTCTTCCCAAGGGGCAGTGTTGGATCCCTGACTTTGGCCTCACCAAGCTCCAGGAATACATGGGTTCCAGAGGGTGCATCCTGGAAATCCATTGCCTTCAGCCTGCAGCGCATCCTAGGGCGCCACCGGTGTCAGATGAACCTCTGTCTGCTACCCTGCCTATGCGTGTGATGCTGCGATGTCGAGTGGTCTTCACTACAGGCAGCAAACTCTTTGCTGCGGAGGCCAACACACCTGTGGATGCCATTTTGGCACTATGGAAGGGTTGCCTACGCCATGAAACTGATTCATGGCAGTTGGAGGATCAGGATCGCTTTTTCCCACTGCCTGACATTCCTGAGGCGAGCGGACAGAGTGCCTCAGGTCTGTGCATTGCCATCCTGCAGCGTGATACTTTCAACATGCGACACACTGGTCATGGATCTTTGGCCCAAGAGCTCTTGTCCGTTGATGAAAGAGAGCAACTTTGGTATGATCAGTTTGGGTTAGTCCCTCTCCGTGCTCCCATCTTGCCAGAGATGATGTTGACCAAGTTTGATTGGGGTCACACCCCGTTGCACATTGCTGCCGAGGAAATCTGGGCATCGGTTCGTGGGGTGCAGTGCTTTGGTCATTGGAACCACAAGAAGGACGTTCACTCCATCCGTGGGCGTGGGAATATTGCTGAACGCCAACTTTGGGCTACCATATGGGAAAGTGCACTCACAGCGGAAGGCCGAGCAAGCTTTGCCTTGGAAGTCGATTGCGAGCTTACTGAGCTGGATTTCCAGGTGACAACTTCCATTGGCAAGTCAATGGCTATCCCTCCTCGACAGTTTCTCCTGTGGTGGGCCGTCCGGGCATTCAGGAGCACCTTGGATTGTGTGAGGGTTCCAGCTGGTATCTTCGTCTCCATCAGATGGTGCAAACGACAGCTTTGGGAAGGACACCTTGCAGATGATCTTCAAGCTGAGCAGCTGATCAACCTATCCAAAGGCTGTGGGACCCGGTACTGGGCAATGAAGAGATTCGTTTGATCCAGACTGTTGCCCGAGCATCCTTTGAATGTCCTCAACACCTGGAATCATAAGGCCGGTGCCTTTGTTCTCCACATCATCACACGGGTGCAAGGAGGAGGAGGTGGCAAGAACCCACAGATCGTCGCGCTGAAGAATGAAGTCGCAAGCACTCTCTTGGATCTACAGTATGAGCTCAACTGGATTTCCAAAGCAGTGGACAGCCTCTTCAACCACCTGGGTCATGCAGCCATCGCTGCCTTGATGAATGGGAAAAAGGAGACCCGTGCGACAGCTGTACTGCAGGCAATGAAGCAGATCGGGCTGGAGCTACCTCGCAAACGCTCCGGTGCCCTTGATAGCCAGGCTCTCCAAGCGGAAGCCACCTGAGATCAATCTCTCCACGGTCACGATCATGCAGGGCTTTCTTCTCAATGAGGATGACTCCAATGCTGTTCAGCTGACGACCTTTGTCCCCCAGTCATCTGGAGTGTTTCTGGCCCACTTGGAACAGGCCATGCCGTGGATCAGGGAGAACTCCATTCTATCCAAGGACGAACTTGGCATCGTTGTGGTGACACAGAAGCAGTTGGATACATCCCTCAAGCATCAGCGAGTTGCCCTGCCTTGTGAGATCCCGGGCGCTGACCCCACCATCCTGGCTGGAATCCTCATCCAGTTTGGTGAAAAGCAGCTCGGGTGCGTGGATCTTCACTGAGAGCGGATGCCCTGACCTTATCAAGTCTACTTGGGGGAGGTCTCTGAGAAATCGAAATCGAGCAGTTCATGCTGCACAAGCTACGTCAGTCCAGCTGCACGGTAGCGTGGCCCCCGAGCGCATCCCAAGGATACTCCAAGCGAGCGGATTCAATAGAATTTTCTGCACGCCCAAGGGCTCGGATGGGAGGCAGGACCAGCGATTTCGGGTGATTTGGACTGAGGGGGACATCCCCCGCCTCACTTCGCTCTCCAAGCAGACTTCTGGATGCTTAGGCCTGGTGAAAGGCCGAGAAGGGATGGGATTGAGGTTTCGTCAAGAGGATTTCTCTGCGGCTTGGCGCATCATTTGCCCCACGAAGGAAGCCCCGCCAGACCTCAATGGTGCAGCATTGGTCAAAGTGCAGCCTCTTCCCTTCGGCACATCGAAGGAGCAGTTGACCCAGTGGGCCCTCACGTACAAATGGGCCATTCGGCCAATTCGTCAAGTCGGAGCCAGAGCATGGCTGATAGCTACGACAGAGGACATCCCCAGTGGCGTCCTCATGTTCAATGCCTCTCCGGCGCTTGCAAGACCTTTGCCACCTAAGAACGAGGAGCGCAAGTCACCTATCATCGCAGGGGATGCCATGCTCAGTTGGAACACCTCAGCTGCAAGCTCCATGCCTTCGCAGGGAGCCGACCCTTGGGCGCAGTACTTGGCATCACATGGACGCCCGGTCACTACTGCTGCTCCTCGATCGGTGGTGGGACCAACGGAATCCAAGTTTCAGGAGCAAACTGGAGGCAAGGATAGCTTCCATTGAATCCTCCACCTCGGCCTTTCAGTGTGAGACTCAAAAGCAGATCACCCAGCTGGATACCAACCTGCGACAGCAAGCTCATGACACTCAGAATCGCTTGCATTCCTGTGGGATGCGCTTTGATGAGCATCAGAAGGAGGTTGCGCAGCAGTTGCTTGCATCTTCCCAATCGCTGGAGGCCTCATTGGTGAAGACCATGCGCCATGAGAATCAAGCCATCCATGGCACCTTGGCGGCTCTGCAAGAGATGTTCCAGGAGAACCTTGGGCGGAAAAAGCCTAAGGAGTCCAACGAGTGATGGGGCAGGGTGGCTGACAATTCACTGTGGCTGCTTTGTGGGTTGCTTCCTACTTCTTCTACAGTGGTTGCATGTTTTTTCGCTTGTTGTTCATGGTTGACACGCCTTGGCTTGAATAAGCTGTTTCGGCGTGTTCTTGGACGAGGAATTCGTTTTGGAGAGGCATTGCATCCAGGTCCTGATGACCTC